TGGAGCAGGCCGCCTGGGGAGATGTCATCCCGCCACTGGCGACTTCCCACACATTGTTGCAGATTGCTGATATTAGTTGCGCGCCGCGGGTCCACCGGAAGCGCTCCTCGGAAGATGCGGACCTCGAATCGACCGAGCACTCAACCACGAGTACGTTGACTCGTGCAAAATTCAAACCGTGCAGGAAGATAAAAAAGAGATGTGCCGATTGGGCAGCACCTCTTGCACTGAAAATTATCTAAGACGAGGTTCGCATGTGCGCGTCTCCCAAGACCTCAGTACCCGAAAGCATCTACTGTCTTCTCGTAGCACTTCACATAGTCAGCCACCTTCATCATGGGGTGATATGCTGCGGTCTTCTTCTCGGTGCAATCGGGCCTCCACTTCTTGTTCTTCTTTTCGGCCTCCGGGCGATCCGCCTCGCAGGCCGCGTCCAGAACAGTGTCGAACGCCCCGCCGCGGCGCACACCCATGGCGTCCAAGCAGCTCTGAGCGAAGAGATCCTCCCCCATCGGCCCGTACTTGCCGCCCTCCACTCCCGTCTTCCAATCCAGGACCTGCTTGCACCACTCGATGTTCGGGAAAAGCGTGTCAGCGGCAGTCAACGACATAATCTCCAAGTTTCCGAACCAACCCCACTTGACGTATTTGCAGTTCTCGAGGTAGATGCCAGGCACACCGCTCCCAGGCTCGCCCTGGGAGGCAAGAAAGGGTCTCAAGCGGCTCGGCAAGAACACCGCATCGCAATCTAACCTTGACCACACCAGTCGGCGCGTTTTGTAGTCTCTCACCGGCCGCCCTGATCGCCTCCAGACCGGTGTGCAATCCTGTGTTTGATCCACGTGCCAGTCTCCTTGCGCTTTGAGGATGTGGAGAAATCGCCGTCCCATTCGTCCCCCGCCACGAAGCGGCAGCCAGGTTCAGGTCCCGCCTGCACGGGCCTGAGGATTGCCCCACTGCGCGCACTGCAAAGATGCCCATCTTCCATGTCGTGCGCCGCCCATCAGCATTCAGCAGCTCGTCCGGGGCGACTTCGGTTTTGGCCATCGCTAGGCCAGTGTTGTGACATGCGTGTACCTATCGCCTCGGTAATCGATGTCCCAGGACGCCACGGTTGTGTCCCAAGTACTGTCGGCTCCCGACCTTGGGCACAGGCTCCGCGCAGGCCGTGTGTCCGCTGGGCGTGGCAATTCTCCTTCATTCACTGCCGAGCCAGGCGTGGTCGTCACAAAGCAGGTGAAGCCGGCCACTCACAGGCATGCAGTGTCGAAGCAAGTCCTTCCGGACACAACGCTGCACATGTCTCCTCGGCGCCGCTTCGGCCAACAACCTGCAGCATCTCGCGGCGGGCTGCGGGGCCGCCTGTGGGCGAGCTGGCGACGCGCCCGGCCGCGAAGCCGCCGCCGGCGCAGGCGGCACAGGCCAGCGCCGCGCAGCCCAGGACCCTGCCCGCGCTCCAGCCCGAGGCGGGCGCGGCCGCGTCGCTGCCGCTGCTGAGCTCCATGTCCTCGCTGCCGCGGTGCGAGGCCATCTGGTCGAGACGAGGGACGGGAGCTGCGGTCTGCGGAAGCAAGCAGGCCTGCGCCGAGGAGCCGCAAATCACTTGGGCCAAAAGCGCCACGAAACGCCGTACTGGGTGGCGGGGGACGCAGGTGATCACAGCAACTGGGACCTTCGGTGGAGATCCCGAGTGGGGCCCCGAAACACCGTCCTGGGTGGCGGGGGGCGCATGTGATCACAACCACTGAGGCCTTCGGTGGAGCTCCCGACTGGGGCCACGAAGCACCGTACTTGGTGGCGGGGGACGCATCTGGTCACAGCCACTGGGGCCTTTCGTGGAGCTCCCGAATGGGGTCCCGAAACGCCGTGCTGGGTGGCGCGGGGCGCATGTGATCACAGCCACTGGGCCTTCGGTGGAGCTCCCTATGTGGCCACGAAACACCGTACTGGGTGGCGGGGGACGCATGTGATCATATCCACTGGGGCCTTCGGTGGAGCTCCCGAGTGGGGCCACGAAACGCCGTACTGGTGGCTCGGAACGCATGTGATCATATCCGCTGGAGCGTTCTGCGGAGCTCGCTATGGGACCACGAAACGACGTACTGAGTGGCGGGGGACGCATGTGATCACGGCCACGGCAGCCTTCGGTGGAGCTCCCTACGGGGCCCCGAAACGCCGTACTGGGTGGCGGGAGACGCAGGTGATCACAGCCACTGGGGCCTCTGATGTCACTCCCTATGGGGCCACGAAACGCCGTACTGAGTGGCGGGGGGGCGCATGTGATCACAGCAGCTGGGGCCTTCGGTGGAGCTCCTTATGGGGCCACAAAACGCTGTTTGTTTCTCCCTGACCCAGTCGATGCTGGGATGTCGCTGGGGGAGATGGAGCAGGCCGCCTGGGGAGATGTCATCCCGCCACTGGCAAAGTCCCACACATTGTTGCAGATTGCTGATGTTCATTGCGCGCCGCGGGTCCACCGGAAGCACTTCTCGGAAGATGCGGACCTCGAATCGACCGAGCACTGAACCACGAGTACGTTGACTCGTGCAAAATTCAAACCGTGCAGGAAGGCAAAAGGAGATGTGCCGATTGGGCAGCACCTCTTGCACTGAAAATTATCTTGGAATAGGTTCGCATGTGCGCGTCTCCCTAGACATCAGTACCCGAAAGCATCCACTGTCTTCTCGTAGCACTTCACATAGTCAGCCACCTTCATCATGGGGTGATATGCTGCAGTCTTCTTCTCAGTGCAATCGGGCCTCCACTTCTTGTTCTTCTTTTCGGCCTCTGGGCGATCCGCCTCACAGGCCGCGTCCAGAACAGTGTCGAACGCCCCGCCGCGGCGCACACCCATGGCGTCCAAGCAGCTCTGAGCGAAGAGATCCTCCCCCATCGGCCCGTACTTGCCGCCCTCCACTCCCGTCTTCCAGTCCAGGACCTGCTTGCACCACTCGATGTTCGGGAAAAGCGTGTCAGCGGCAGTCAACGACATGATCTCCAAGTTTCCGAACCAACCCCACTTGACGTATTTGCAGTTCTCGAGGTAGATGCCAGGCACACCGCTCCCAGGCTCGCCCTGGGAGGCAAGAAAGGGTCTCAAGCGGCTCGGCAAGAAACACCGCATCGCAATCTACCTTGACCACCCAGTCGGCGCGTTTGTAGTCTCCCCGCCCTGATCGCCTTCCAGACCTGGGTGTGCAGTCCTGTGTTGATCCACGTGCCAGTCTCCTTGCGCTTGAGGATGTGGAAATCGCCGCCGCATCGTCCACCGCCACGAAGGGCACGCCAGGCTTCAGGTCGCCTGCCACGTCGCTGAAGATGCCCCACTGCTCGCACTGAGCAAGATGCCCATCTTCCTTCTTGCGCCGCCCTCCAGCAAGTTCAGCTCGTCGGGGCGCTCGGTTTTGCCATCGCTGCCAGTGTCGCATGTACACGGAGAAGCAGTACATCGATGTCCCAGGCGCCACGGCGTTGTCCAAGTACATCGGCTCGCCAACCTTGGGCACAGGCACCGCGCAGGCCGTTGTGTCGCTGGGCGTGCAATTCTTCATGCACTGGGCCGAGCCAGGCGTGGTCGTCACAAAGCAGGTGAAGCCGGCCACGTCACAGCATGCAGTGTCGAAGCAGTCCTCGGACACATCGCTGCACTTGTCTCGCGCCGGCTTCGCCAACACCTGCAGCAGCTCGCGGCGGGTTGCGGGGCCGCCTGTGGGCGAGCTGGCGACGCGCCCGGCCGCGAAGCCGCCGCCGGCGCAGGCGGCACAGGCCAGCGCCGCGCAGCCCAGGACCCTGCCCGCGCTCCAGCCCGAGGCGGGCGCGGCCGCGTCGCTGCCGCTGCTGAGCTCCATGTCCTCGCTGCCGCGGTGCGAGGCCATCTGGTCGAGACGAGGGACGGGAGCTGCGGTCTGCGGAAGCAAGCAGGCCTGCGCCGAGGAGCCGCAAATCACTTGGGCCAAAAGGGCCACGAAACGCCGTACTGGGTGGCGGGGGACGCATGTGGTCACAGCCACTGGGACCTTCGGTGGAGATCCCGAATGGGGCCCCGAAACACCGTCCTGGGTGTCGGGGGGCGCATGTGATCACAGCCACTGGGGCCTTCAGTGGGGCTCCCTGTGGGGCCACGAAGCACCGTACTTGGTGGCGGGGGACGCATCTGGTCACAGCCACTGGGGCCTTTCGTGGAGCTCCCGAATGGGGTCCCGAAACGCCGTGCTGGGTGGCGCGGGGCGCATGTGATCACAGCCACTGGGGCCTTCGGTGGAGCTCCCTATGTGGCCACGAAACACCGTACTGGGTGACGGGGGACGCATGTGATCATATCCACTGGGGCCTTCGGTGGAGCTCCCGAGTGGGGCCACGAAACGCCGTACTGGTGGCTCGGAACGCATGTGATCATATCCGCTGGAGCGTTCTGCGGAGCTCTCTATGGGACCACGAAACGACGTACTGAGTGGCGGGGGACGCATGTGATCACGGCCACGGCAGCCTTCGGTGGAGCTCCCTACGGGGCCCCGAAACGCCGTACTGGGTGGCGGGAGACGCATCTGGTCACAGCCACTGGGGCCTCTGGTGTCACTCCCTATGGGGCCACGAAACGCCGTACTGAGTGGCGGGGGGGCGCATGTGATCACAGCAGCTGGGGCCTTCGGTGGAGCTCCTTATGGGGCCACAAAACGCTGTTTGTTTCTCCCTGACCCAGTCGATGCTGGGATGTCGCTGGGGGAGATGGAGCAGGCCGCCTGGAGAGATGTCATCCCGCCACTGGCAACGTCCCACACATTGTTGCAGATTGCTGATGTTCATTGCGCGCCGCGGGTCCACCGGAAGCACTTCTCGGAAGATGCGGACCTCGAATCGACCGAGCACTGAACCACGAGTACGTTGACTCGTGCAAAATTCAAACCGTGCAGGAAGGCTAAAGGAGATGTGCCGATTGGGCAGCACCTCTTGCACTGAAAATTATCTTGGAAGAGGTTCTCATGTGCGCGTCTCCCTAGACATCAGTACCCGAAAGCATCCACTGTCTTCTCGTAGCACTTCACATAGTCAGCCACCTTCATCATGGGGTGATATGCTGCGGTCTTCTTCTCGGTGCAATCGGGCCTCCACTTCTTGTTCTTCTTTTCGGCCTCTGGGCGATCCGCCTCGCAGGCCGCGTCCAGAACAGTGTCGAACGCCCCGCCGCGGCGCACACCCATGGCGTCCAAGCAGCTCTGAGCGAAGAGATCCTCCCCCATCGGCCCGTACTTGCCGCCCTCCACTCCCGTCTTCCAGTCCAGGACCTGCTTGCACCACTCGATGTTCGGGAAAAGCGTGTCAGCGGCAGTCAACGACATGATCTCCAAGTTTCCGAACCAACCCCACTTGACGTATTTGCAGTTCTCGAGGTAAATGCCAGGCACACCGCTCCCAGGCTCGCCCTGGGAGGCAAGAAAGGGTCTCAAGCGGCTCGGCAAGAACACCGCATCGCAATCTACCTTGACCACCCAGTCGGCGCGTTTGTAGTCTCCGGCCGCCCTGATCGCCTTCCAGACCTGGGTGTGCAGTCCTGTGTTGATCCACGTGCCAGTCTCCTTGCGCTTGAGGATGTGGAAATCGCCGTCCGCATCGTCCACCGCCACGAAGGGCACGCCAGGCTTCAGGTCGCCTGCCACGTCGCTGAAGATGCCCCACTGCTCGCACGCAAAGATGCCCATCTTCCTGTCGTGCGCCGCCCTCAGCAAGTTCAGCTCGTCGGGGCGCTCGGTTTTGCCATCGCTGCCAGTGTCTGCCATGTACACGGAGAAGCAGTACATCGATGTCCCAGGCGCCACGGCGTTGTCCAAGTACATCGGCTCGCCAACCTTGGGCACAGGCACCGCGCAGGCCCGTTGTGTCGCTGGGCGTGCAATTCTTCATGCACTGGGCCGAGCCAGGCGTGGTCGTCACAAAGCAGGTGAAGCCGGCCACGTCACAGCATGCAGTGTCGAAGCAGTCCTCGGACACATCGCTGCACTTGTCTCGCGCCGGCTTCGCCAACACCTGCAGCAGCTCGCGGCGGGCTGCGGGGCCGCCTGTGGGCGAGCTGGCGACGCGCCCGGCCGCGAAGCCGCCGCCGGCGCAGGCGGCACAGGCCAGCGCCGCGCAGCCCAGGACCCTGCCCGCGCTCCAGCCCGAGGCGGGCGCGGCCGCGTCGCTGCCGCTGCTGAGCTCCATGTCCTCGCTGCCGCGGTGCGAGGCCATCTGGTCGAGACGAGGGACGGGAGCTGCGGTCTGCGGAAGCAAGCAGGCCTGCGCCGAGGAGCCGCAAATCACTTGAGCCAAAAGGGCCACGAAACGCCGTACTGGGTGGCGGGGGACGCAGGTGATCACAGCCACTGGGGCCTTCGGTGAAGATCCCGAATGGGGCCCCGAAACGCCGTCCTGGGTGGCGGGGGGAGCATGTGACCACAGCCACTGGGGCCTTCGGTGGAGCTCCCGACTGGGGCCACGAAACACCGTACCGGGTGTCGCGGGGGACGCATGTGATCACAGCCAATGGGGCCTCTGGTGGAGCGCCACGAAACGCCGTACTGAGTGTCGGGAGGCGCATCTGATCACAACCACTGGGGCCTCTGGTGGTGCTCCACTGTGGGACCACGAAACGCCGCACTGGGTGGCGGGCGACGCATGTGACCACAGCAGCTAGGGCCTTCGGTGGAGCTCCCTATGGGACCCGAAATAGCGTACTTGGTGGCGGGGGACGCATGTGATCACAGGAACTGGGGCCTTCGGTGGAGCTCCCTGTGGGGCCAAGAAACGCCGTAGTGAGTGGCGGGGGGCGCATCTGATCACAGCCACTGGGGCCTCTGGTGGTGCTCCATTATGGGACCACGAAACGCCGTACTGGGTGGCGCGGGACGCATGTGATCATAGCAGCTGGGGCCTTCGGTGGAGCTCCCTATGGGGCCACGGAGCACCGTACTGGGTGGCGGGGGAGGCATGTGAGCACAGCCATCGGAGCTTTCGGGGGAGCCCCCCATGAGGCCACGAAACGCCGTACTGGGTGGCGCTGAAATGGTGGACATGCAGAGGGCCAGCGGTGGGAGAAGGAGGGGAAGAGGAAGGCGAGGAGACGCGGGGCGCTGTCAATCAAAACGAGATCCCAGCACCACAGGATGGTTGGGAACACATAACGTGCCAGTGTCTGTGGAGTGAACTGAGTAAGTGAAGAACGCGCAAAGAGGATCAGCTGTTCTGACAGTGTGTGTGTGACTTTCTGGCCAAAGAGGAGAAACACTTGTTCTACAAGAGCAAAGGCTGGGAGGCAAATCCAGTCTGGGAGGCGGCTCATATGCACTGTGGCACCATGTTCGAGCCAACAGGGAAGAGCTCGACGAAGCGCTTCACTCGCTGATGGCTGCAGGAGTCGTGGTGCAAACCAGGCCAAGCACTCATGTCTCATGTCCTATGCCACATGAAACCGAATGTTTCGGTGGAGGTGTCGTTCATCCCTCCCGCCTTTGCTACTCAAACTCGTCCTCCACGGTGAAAATGGTAGCTTGCGCAGGAGGCAGGGGGGAGGAGGGAAGGAAGCGGGAGGAGGCGGGAGGACAGGAAGAGGAAGGAGGAGCAGCGCTCTGTTCGAAACAAGTGCCCAACAAGAGGAGGGCTGGCAAAAGTACCGACGGCCGCCTTTGCCCCAATCTTGGGCCGAGGACCCTGACGGATCGATCTGGCTCGAGAGATCCCGCACAGAGGTGCTGTCGGAAGCTCAAGTTGTGATGTGCTACGGCATCGCGCTATTTTTTACGACGTGGGAGGAGAAGCTGTCAAAAAGCTGCGCCGCAGAGGCGGCGCTTTCCAGTCTCAGGCGAAGAAGTGGGCGGCAAACGCAGCCAGTACGGCGGCCAAGCCAAGGCCGAAGCGCGGCTTTGCCGCACTCCATGTGCACTGCATGCGCTCACTGATGACCGGGCCCACCTGGGTCACAATCTCGTCCGCGGACTCCTGCAGACCAGCGCACTGCGTTGTCGCGAGCGACATGAAGTCCTTCACGAGATCGATCGTCTCGGGCGTCATGGGATAGATCTTGCTCATGTGCGGCAGCATCAGCTCGGACATCTGCCAGATGTTGTGTAGGGAGGTGTGCATGGTCGCAAGCTTCGTGTTATAGTCCGTGATGTTAGACATGAGCCCAGAGATCTCGTTGCAGGCGTCGGCCTGGGACGCGGCCGCCAACGCGCTCGCGTTAACGCGCAGCGGGACCGCCTGCTCGCGCAGCTGCTTGATGATGGGCATGAAAGCCTGGCGCAGCTCCCTTGGCATTACGACGTTGAGGTCCCTGGCGAGCTTCTGCGCGTCCGCGTGCATGGACTTCACGCGGAAAGACGCCTCGTGGAAGTAGCGCGTCATCAAGAACGACAACTCCACGTCGGACGCCCTGCCGCTCGCCAAGGCGAACTTCGCGGTCTTGCGGCGGGTAATGTTCAGGAAGTCCTGGACAGTGTTGGCGATCTCGATCTTGGCCTTGTTGATGCGCTTCATGAAGAGCGGGTTCTCCGTCGCCTTCGGGAGCGCCATCATCACCTCGGGAAGGCAGGAATGGGCAGGGTGAGGGATAGGAAGACGAAGACGACGACGACGACGACAACGACAACAACAACAACAAACACCAAACAACAAACACCAAACACCAAACAACAAACAATAAACAGCAAACAACAAACAACAAACAACAAACAACAAATTCGCCGGCCCAACGGGCCAGAGGCGTGCTAAGATCTCCGGTAACTGGTTAACAATTGTATATTGTACTAGTTCGCGCGCGCGGGGCGGCCCCTGGGGGTCCCCCGGCGAAAAGTACCCCGCCCGCCGCCTGGCAAGGTCCCGCCCGGTTCAACTCAGAGATGGTTTTCCTTCTGGGTGCGGCCTCTCAGGCTCCCCAGAGCGCGCTCAGAGTGCCCCAAGAGGCCCCCAAGACTGCCCAAGAGGCCCCCGAGACGCCCAAAGAGCGCTCGAAGACGCCAAGGATGACCCCAAGACGGCCCAAAAGGCCCCAAAGACAGCCCAAGAGGCCTCCAAGACGCCCCAAGAGCCTTCCAAGAGGCCTCCGAAGAGAGCCCCAAGAGGCCAAAATCGTTGATTTTCATTGGTTTTTTCGATGTTTTTTGTGTTCTGGCTTTTTCGGCTTCCGGACGCTCCAAGACGGCCCAAGAGGCCCCCAAGACCGCTCCAAGACGGCCCACGAGGCTCCCAAGACGGCCCCGGAACGGCCCAGGAGGGCCCCCAAGACGGCCCAAGTGCCGCCCAAGACGGACCAAGAGGCCCCAAGACGGGCCCAAGAGGGGCTCAAGAGGGGAACCGAGAACTGAAAAATCGAGCCCTCCGCCCCAGAAGGCGCCCAGGAGGCCCCAAAAAGGCCCCAAGAGGCCCCCAAGAGGCCCCCAAGACGCCCCAAGAGGCGCCCAAGAGGCCCAAAAGAGGCCCCAAGAGGCCCCAAAACGGCCCCCAAAACTCGGCTAGCCCACAACGGTGCGACAATATGGGCCGGCGGAATGAGCGAAGCGATTAAATAACTAATAACAAGAACAACAACAACAACCACAACAATAGCACTAATAACAACAACAACCACAACAACAACAACAACAACAACAACAACAACAACCAAAAACAACAACAACAACAACAACAACAACAACAACAACAACAACAACAACAACAACAACAACAACAACAACAACCACCACCACCACCACCACCACCACCACAACAACAACAACCAACAACCGCAACCACAATAACAACAACAACAACAACAACAACAACAACAACAACAACAACAACAACGACAACAACGACAACATCAACATCAACATCAACAACAAAAACAATCATGTAAGACTATTCGCTCCTATCTGCTCACGTGCCAACCAATACGTATATCCCAAAACCTCGGTACTCGCCCTCGTCGTCTTCGATCGTACTCCCGTGGGGGTAAATCTACCTTACCTGCAACATGCATTGAGCGCAGCCCCTAAAACAGGGGAAGAGAGGACGGGTGGAAGGGGAAGGGAGAAGAATGGAGCATGAGAGAAATTAGCAGGAGGGGGGGCAAGGAGCAGACAATTATCCTGGCGAAGGACCCAACCATATGCAATTGCGAGTACCGCAGTTGTGAATATCTTCTTCGGTGGAGCCCCCTACGGGGCCACGAAACGTACGAGGGGTGTGCCGAAATGGGTGTGCGGGACGCATGCGGGCACACCCACTGGGGCCTTCGGTGGAGCTCCATATGGGACCACAAAACGTGCGAGGGGTCACGAAACGCGTGAGGGGTGAGCCGACATGAGCGTGCGGGACGCATGCGGGCACACCCACTGGGGCCTTCGGCGGAGCTCCCTTTGGGGCCACGAAACGTGTGAAAGGTATGCCGAAATTGGTGTACGGGACGCATGCGGGCGGCAGCACTGGGACCTTCGGTGGAGCCCCTCTACGGGGCCACGAAACGTGCGAGGGGTGTGCCAAAATGGGTGTGCGGGACGCATGCGGGCACACCCATTGGGGCCTTCGGTGGAGCTCCCTATGGGACCACGAAACGTGTGAGGGGTCACGAAACGCGTGAGGGGTGTGCCGAAATGGATGTGCTGGACGCATGCGGGCACACCCACTGGGACCTTCGGTGGAGCTCCCTATGGGGCCACGAAACGTGTGAAGGATATGCCGAAATGGGCGTGCGGGACGCATTCCCTATGGGGCCACGAAACGCGTGAGGGGTGTGCCGAAATGGGTGTGCGGGACGCATGCGGGCGGCAGCACTCTGGGGCCTTCGGCGAAGCTCCCTATGGGGCCACGAAACGTGTGAGGGGTG